ATTCACTGATTAAGGAGAAAAATACATATTTTTTCTAATTCTTTCCTTTTATTTGTTTATACGTGTAAATAGACAGACCCAAATAGAAATTAATCATTTCGTATCGAGGCGTTATATGATAGTGATATAAATCATTGTCTGATATCAATTTACACTTTTCGACTACGTCACGTCCCGACTATACTGGTTTTTTTTGTTGTTATTTGGAATTATTTATCTGAGGTTNTTTTTTTGTTGTTATTTGGAATTATTTATCTGAGGTTTATTTATGTTTACCAACGATAACACTTTATGTGTTTAAAAAAGAAGAAAAGATTATACAAACATGGTACAATAATATTTTTTTACAACCTATTAAAATATGAAGTGTTAAAATAGAATTTCATAACCAAAATTGAATTATTTTCGACTTAATGAGAAATTATACAAAAAATATTAATATGACACAATAGATCACTAATACAACATTGTCGGGTGCCAAGTTATTTATTATATTGTTGTGTCTACTATTATTTAAATTTCAAGAGGACGGTAGTCCGTCACGTAACAATTCAACAAAATGTGTTACTATACTTAAAAAAAACTTCACACGACAACGACATAGAACATACATCACAAAATCTTAGAATCCAATTAATGATTCTATGAGCTGATATAAAAAACAATACAATGAATATTTAATACATATTGTACACATGTGTAAAGTTTTCTTTTTTAAACGGTAAAAATATTTTATCGTTCTTAGAACGTTTCGTTTGGTAACAAAACTATTGTAGACATACAATAAAACTTGGAAATCTCTAATAAAAACATAGTCATCCGTGAACGCATGACTGCTTGCTTTTCAGACAACTAACTTTTTAATTCGATTATCCTTTCGTATACGTATGGACACGCTTGTTTCCGATAGATAAAGAGTTATTCTATTATGAACTCATTGACTTGCGTTTTGAACTCTTCATACATGAAGAAGTGCAAACAGCATAAAAAATCACTCTGGATCAGCGTCGATTATAGTTATAACATGCACGGCTGTAGGCTTGTGGTAATAAATGATAATGACGTCATCTCCCCATGACTGGTTTGTCAGATGATGATGTATACGATCTTATGCCATCTGAATGGTCATATGTACAAGATCTATGTGCGCGTGATGAAATTTCATTTCCCTATTAACAAGTTACTATTATAATTGTAGTCGGAACAATAATGAAATGATTTACACGTAAATAGTATACGCCCGTGAAAATGCATTGTCTGTTTTTATTTTTAAAAGAATTATTTTAAGTAATATTACTCTAGTGCACATTGTAAAGATTGTTGTGTACTGATATCGGCGGCAAAATTACAAAACTGATAAGCGTCTGACACGATCTCAATATAACAGAAGATTTTCCATATGTCAGATTTCGTTGATTAAGAACAATTTAATTGATAAACTGAACGAATTAACTTTTTTAATGAATCAGTTTATTTTAATTTACATCGAAAACAAGAGTACAGCGCCCTATTCTTAAAAACTCATAAATCTTAAAACACTAAAAAGTCAAGTAAATATCTTCTACGTGTGTTTACTACCTTAGGATGTTATCTTGTACGCATAAGACCAGCAAGATAAGATAAATATTAAGTTAAACAAAGCTAAAATAATATGAATAACAATTTTGTGAAACAACGAACGAACTCCATACAACTATAAACTTTAAAAAAAATAATAAATCCATGTACAGATCTCTAACGGATTATAATCTAACAGTTCAACTCATTCAAATGATAGATGTCTATAAAATATTGACAATACTTAAGTCCCCCTCGTTTGACATAATACAAACCTTAAAGAAACCTTAGTTATTACTGCTCATATGAGCTATTTTACAATATAGTATTTGGGGGAAGTATTCATACACTGTGTTTTGTTGATGTAAAATACAATTACTATAACAATAAAAATATACAGCGATTAATGTTTGATTATACAAAAAAGTAAAATACATTTAACCATCAATAACAATATAAGGATTTTTAATTTAACGTGAAATTCAGAAACTTTTCTTTTAGTTGAAAAAACTTGTTCAAGTAATTCAGACTTACGTGTTACACATAAATATTTAATTACAGAATAATTTTGTTAATTTAATTTTTAGAACAAAAACAACTATAAGTATTTTCTGCTAGTTTTTTTTCAGTACCCTGTGAATTATAAAATTAAACATAGACACAGAAACATTCGATTTATATAAAAATATCAGCGATCAGATAAATATTTTGGCAATTGTACGAGTCGTTTCGTTTACATTCAATTGATGACTATAAATCTATAACATAAACAATTTAACAATGAATGCGCTCTGCTAAATATTATTTTTTTAAATATTCATTTAATATATCACGGCGTCAAATTTTATTTGTATGTAATAATTTCATATATTTATTTATATACATTAAACTACTATGCATAAGGCAGAGTACTATGATCACTTAAAACTTAAACATCGTAAAATATAATAATAGTTTTGCTATTTTGTTACTAATGTTTCAATTTAGATAAAATCACGATCTCTGGAGTATACTTTCTTTTACAAACTAATATAACAAATCTATAAACATTTTCGTAAGTAAAAATGCATCAATCACCAACACAATAGGAGTTATTTACACGACTTTTGTAGTCGTGTAGAAATTAAAACACCTGAAGTAATTGTACTGTTATGGAATTTTTCCTCTTGCCAAAATATATAAATTTATCATGATTATTTATACTAATTACAATATTATTTTCTATGCTGACTCAAGACATTTTACCGCCCTGGAAATACTTATAGATTTCAGTGATGTCGTCTTATACTTTTAGAAATTTTTATATATTTTTTGCTTATTATCTTACATATTGAACGAATCTCATAAAATTTTTAAAACGTAGCCACTGATCATTTACAATCCCAGACAATCATTTAACTCATCTGTGTTAGGCAGGTAATAGGGTACACTTGAAAATGTACGTAAAAAGAATCTAGTTTTACTCAAATTAAATGTTTAACTAATATATTTTAATCATAAATATTTTAGAATGTAAAACGTTTCTAAAAAATAACCCAAGAAAAACTTACAATTTAAATAAAACTTAATAAATTGTTTTTATTATTATATTTCCTTACATTGTATGTATATTTAGTTATATTAAGTTAATGTTATCAGAATTGTATAAAGTATAAAATATTTGTAAAAAATATTTTCTTAAACTTTATTATTTAATATAATTTTAAACTTTTTAATTA